CTACTGCTGCAATACTCTGCTAGGGGTTAATCTCCAAACCCTAACAGGAATAGCGTTCCTTGCGCCTTCACCATGGAGTCATGCCAGCCACATGACCACGGAGATGTCTTGGGCAGCACAGGCTCTTTGGCTTTGTAATGAAGATGAGCACCGCCCCCTAGAGCCGGAAATGACTAGCACATATGTGCGAGGGGAATCTTTACCTCTACATATTAAATTAGAAACTAATTTCTCCCACGCATCTTAAAATTAGAACATAGAATAACAGAGTTGGAAGGGAACTGGAGTTCTTCTGGTACAATCCCCTGCTTGAGCAGAAGAACCAACACCATTTCAAGCAAATGGCTGTCCATTAAAAGCCTCCAGTGATGGAGCACCCACAACTTCTAAAGGCAAGCTATTCTACTGGTTAATTGTCCTCGCTGTTAGGAAATTCCTCCTTAGTTTTAGGTTGCTTCTCTCCTTGGTTAGATTCCATCCATTGTTTCTCGTCTTGCTGCTTTGAAAAATAAGTTGACACCCCCCCCCCTCTTTTTTTGGCAGCCCCTCAAATATTGGAACAGTGCTTTCATGTCACTCCCAGCCCTTCTTTTCACAAGACTAGACATATCCAATTCCTGCAACTGTTCTTCATATATTTTATCCTTCAGTCCCCTAATCATCATTGTTGCTCTTTTCTGCACTCTTTCCAGAATCTCAGCATCTACAATGTCCTACCAGTCAATGACTACTTCAGCTTCAACCACAACAATACAAGAGCGCACATCAGATACAAACTCCATGGAAACTGCTCCAAACTCGATTGCAGAAAGTAGGACTTCAGCAACAGAGTGGTCAATGCCTGGAATGCACTACCTGACTCTGTTGTTACATCCTCTTGCCCCCACTCCTTTACCCTTAAACTATCTACTATTGACCTCACCCCATTCCTAAGACATTTGTAAGGGGCATGTATAAGTGCACAATCATTCCTACCATTTATTCATACCTATTTCCTGTATTCACACTCATGTTTATTCTTATACTTATTATCTTGTAAGGGATTGACAAATAAATAAATAAAATCTTGTTTATATTGTGGTGACCACAACTGGATGCAGTATTCCAAGTGTGGTCTTACTAAGGCTTGTAAATGGTATTAACACTTCACGTGGTCTTGATTCTGTCCCTCTATTCATGCAGCCTAGGATTGAATTAGCCTTTTTGACTGCTGCTGCACACTATTTTCTCTTATTTAAGTGATTGTCCTCTATGGGGTGGCTTAGCCCCAAAACCAGCCGGCTCGGGGCGCTCCAGCTGCGAGCCCAGACAGAAACCGCGCACAATTGCGGATTTCTGTCTGTCGCCGAAGCCCTTCAAACCGGAAGTCCCGCCTGTCTTTTACAGTTCTGTTTTTGGTAGGTTGAGCTATTTCTTCTTTTTGTGTGAAGACAGATGCAAAGAAAGAATTAAGCAGCTCTGTTTCTCCCTGCTGTTCCTCAATTCCTTGCCATAATCTCCCATTAGTGAATTGATTGTTTCCTTAACTTTTTCTTGTTTTTTATATGTTGAAAGAAATGTTTTTTATTATATTTGACTTTTGTTGCAAGTCTTAGTTCATTCTGAGTCTTAGCTTCTTTACAGTATTTGGGGGAAAAAACACCACAAAAATAGTAAGACTACCAGGGGCAGGAAAATATCCACTGACACATACCTCATATGACATATTTTACAATCTCTTGATTAAGATAAAGTACAAGATTGTACTTCTGGAAATTAATAACCACATCTTTAATATCAATTCTTTTTTCCCATTTAATCATGGGCCCTCACTGGGGAGAATGGGAATGGATGAAAAATTATAGGGTGGATGATTGTTCCTGAATAATAGATAAAGCACATCACTTGATTACATTACTGTTTTGTAATAAGGTGAAATGCAATAATGTCCAAAAATCAAAATAAATTTTCACAAATGTAGCATAAATGTTGATGATTAAGTGATCCTTTTAATCAGACACACCGTTTTATTAACAATTTTCCTCATTTTAAGAAATCAGATTAAATACACAAATGCCCTAAAGTCAAAATAAAAGTTTTCAATTCCTGCATACGTCAGAGATTTTTGTGACTCATTATATTCTCCCTACAATTCAGATGGGGTCTCAGTAAGATAATGTAGCATTTGGGAAAAAAGATACAAGCCAGGAGAGCAGCTCCAGAGGCCAAGATGGAGAAGATCTCCACAGCCACCATGGATTTCCCTTTGGTGCTCAGATAGGTGGGAAGAAAACTGATCCAAACACTGCAAAAGACCAGCATGCTAAAAGTAATGAACTTGGCTTCATTAAAACTGTCGGGCAATTTCCTAGCCAGAAAAGCCACTGTGAAACTGATGAAGGCCAGGAAAGCCAGGTAGGCGAGGACAGCATAAAACATTGAAGCTGAGCCTTCATTACATTCCAAGATGATCTCTCCTACTAAGGAGTGGAAGTCCATGTTAGGAAATGGAGGAGAAATTGCCAGCCAGGTGGCACAAAGAAGGGCTTGGATCAGGGGACAGGCTATGACAATGGAATTGGTCAGTGGTTTTCCTAAGAGTTTCCTTGTCTTGTTCCCAGGCTTGGTGGCCATAAATGCCAGAACCACCATGACAGTTTTTGCCAAGACAGAGGAAACTGCAAGGGAAAAGAGGATGGCAAATGAAGTTTGTTGGAAGAGACAGGTGATCTTCCTGGGTCGACCAATGAAGAGGAAGGAGCAGAGGAAGCAGAGCAGGAGGGAGACCAGGAGGATATAGGTGAGATCTCGGTTGTTGGCCTTGACAATCGGTGTTTCGTGATGTTTAAGGAAAATCACCAGGACTCCCAATGTGATCATAGAGAGAAAAGGAGCAAGACATAATAAAGTGTATCCCAGGGTCCCTCGATAGGCGAGGAAGTGGATCCTCTTGGCAATGCAGTGGTTCTTGTGTTCATTGGGGTATCGGTCTTCTGGGCAGAGGTCACAGTGAGCAGCATCTGAAATGAAGAATCTTTGTTTAAGGATTTCAGGGGCATCTGCTGTAAGCATTATCCCTCCCATCAGGGTGACATGTCTGCCTCCTTTCTGCTGTGGCCAACTCACAAATGTAGTGATGGAATGAACTATGTGTGTTATATAGAGGATCAAAAAGAGCAAATCATCCGTGACACTGATGGTAGGCTATTGAGAGACAAGAATCTGTTAAGCCCCAGCAATTTGCTCTTGTATAAAGGGTCTCTCCAATCACTGGGCACATCAATGTGTACATTTCAGAGTGAGAGAAACTATTAAATATGTTTTTTTCTTAATTTATACTGAAACCCTCAGAATTCTGATAGATCCGTAAACCAGGAGTCTTGCTATTTTGTTAATGTATAGAATAACAGAGTTGGAAGGGACCTTGGAGCTCTTCTAGTCCAACCCCCTGCTTAGGCAGGAAACCCTGGATCATTTCAGACAAATGGTTGTCCAATCTCTTCTTAAAAACTTCCAGTGTTGGAGCATTCATAACTTCTGGAGGGAAGTTGTTCCGCTGATTAATTGTGCTAACTGTCAGGAAATTTCTCCTTAGTTCTAAGTTGCTTCTCTCCTTGATTACTTTCCACCCATTGCTTCTTCTCCTGTCCTCAGATGCTTTTGATAATAATTTGACTCTCTCCTCTTTGTGGCAGCTCCTGAGATATTGGAAGACTGCTATCAGGTCACCCTTAGTCCTTCTTTTCATTAGACTAGACATACTCAGTTCCTGCAACCGTTCTTCATATGTTTTAGCCTCCAGTCCCTTAATCATCTTTGTTGCTCTTCTCTGCACTCTTTCTAGAAATTCAACATCTTTTTTACATCATGACAACCAAAACTGGATGCAGGATTCTAAGTGTGTCCTTACAAGGGAATTATAAAGCAGTATTGACACTTCACGTGATCTTGATTCTACCCATCTGTTTATGTAGCCTAGAATACATAATATATATTATATAGCCTTTTTTGGCAGCTGCAGCACTCTGCTTGCTCATATTTAAATGGTTGTCCAGTAGGACTCCAAGATCCCTCTCACAGTTTCTACTATTTAGCAAGGTACCACATACATTGTACCTTGCATTTTGTTTTTGTGTGTATCTTGTCCATTGTTCTGGGCTGAACAAGAGAAAAAAGTACGTGCAACTGTATATTGAATATTGTAAGGGAGAAAATTCTCTTTTTCCGTTCAAAAGTGAATTACCAGCAAATTGATTAGAGGAGAGAGAAAGGAAAGAAAGTTGCAGAGACAAGATAACATTGAGAGCTATCTGCATCAGCATCTCTGTTTGTATTTCAAATCTGCCCATTCAGATTTTTTTTCCCTCTAGGAAAGGTTAGTAGATAGGAATAAATCAATGTCTTATTTCTCCCATCAATTTCCTAGGAGATTAAGAGTGCTCAAAAAAGAAGCAACACCTAAATAATAAAAAGTAAAGCTTGAACCTTACATTCCTATCCTTTATGAAAAGATTGGTAGCTGTTCTTCCAATGGGATGTGAAAGCAGGGGAAGAAGGGCTAGTAGGGTACCCATAAGTTGTTTGCTGAAATTACCCTGCATTAAATTGGTTAGGAGCAGAAAAGTTGGCCTGTGGGGCAGGGGTGGGATTCAGTTTTTTTAACAACCGGTTCTGTGGGCGTGGCTTAGTTGGTGGGTGTGGCTTGGTGATCATGTGACTGGGTGGGCTTGGTCAACTCGACATTACTCATATCAAGGGGCGCTTCTCCTCACCTGGCCTCTCATGACAATGGGGATGCTGCAACGGTCATAAGTGTGATAAATGGCCATAAGTCACTTTTTTCAGTGCCCTTGTAACTTTGAATGGTCACTAAATGAACTGTTGTAAGTCAAGGATTACCTTTACAAAAATACAAAAAGCTTCTTTGCTTGCAAAAAGCTGCCCTTGATGCCAATCATTAGATTAAAAGTACCTGCAAGCCAGAGTTACAAATCAGGCAGGATGCCAGAGTACCTTGAAGAATGAAAATAGTTAAAATGCAATGATAACTATCAAGCAGCCTACTCTTTCTCATAAAGTGAAAGCCTTTAGCAGAGAGGTCATTTAAGCTCTCCAGAAAAAGCACACCCAGGAAAAGCAATTCTTAGATCCATTTGCACCATTTAAAAATACCAGCTGGTCTCACTCACCTCACAAGATATCCTAAGGAAGTCATCCAGATTTAAGGAAAGGTCACATGCCCCCCAGAAAGGCAGTAAAGAAAAATCAGTGCCAAGCTTGCATCCTGCCTCTTGGAAGTATACCCCAAAAGAACAGTGCCAGATAGTACTAAAGCAGTGAGGAAGACCCCCTCCCCAGATAGAAAAAGAAACCATGAGGCAAGAAAAAATTCAAACACAATACAAATAATGAAATCACAACAGTAGCTGTTGCTTCTTGAAGCTGAATAGGGAAAATTATCTCATCAGTAAACACAGGATTAAATGTCACCAAGCACAGAATTAGCCTTCACCAAAAACCAGTTTTAGACCAAAACTCAGAATGAGTATGTAAACTCACGTTTGAATGTTAATATTTCTAGCTAGCCAAGAAGCCTTGCTGAATGTCACTCATTTTGATTCCCTGTCACTAAAAGCTTTGCTTCATTATTCAATTATTTCTTCAAAGTGCTGATTGTCCAGGGAAGTATTTCCTCCCAACAGCAGTGTAAAAATCTCAAAACAACCCTTCCCCTTTAAGAAAGTCAAGCCTCAAAAGCTCCAGAGACAGGAAGTCTAGGTGTACTGGCAAGAATTTAATAAGGGTGGTAAAAAACAAACAGAGATTGCTTCTAATTACCGGTTCTCTGAACTGCTTAGAAAGTTAACAAGGGGTTCTATAGAACCAGATAGAACAGGTAGAATCCCACCCCTGCTGTGGGGGAAGGGGAGTTTAGTTCCATAAACTTCAATGCTCTGTTGAGAACTATGAATACTTTGAAGCATGTCAATCCTATCAAAATTAATTAACATGAAAACATATTAATATCTGCTGAATGGTTTCCTTGACCATGGAAGACTTAATTTGAAGTGTGACCTACCTATCTGATCAGAAATGGTCCCTTCTGGACAAGGGTCACATTGGTAGCAGCAAACCTGCTGGCCCTCTGGAACTCTTCTCATCTCTCCTGCCTGGCACCTCTTCTTGCCACACCTGGCAAAGGGCACCTTATAAAAGAAAAAAGAGAAATGTTTCAGATGAATAGTTGTCTGTTCATCTCCACCCCCTGCCTTTTATCCCCAGAGCTAGGGTAGGGCTTCACTTGCAGTGGTGGCTCTTCCATCCCTAGGACTGGCCCACAGATTTCCACTGCTCTCCTCCCCTCTGCCTTCTGTGCATCTGCGCATCAGGCACTGGACCCAGCTGTTCCTCCTCTTCTTCATCAGCCACCTCCATACCTGGGGGCTGTTGACTCTCCCTCTGAGGGCTGATGGATGGCCCAGGCTCTGCCTCTGTTTCTATCCCCTCTATTCCCTCTTCCCCCTTGGAGGTCTTGGATTGCCTTGAGGCTGGCCCTGAATCCCATGCTGCCTCCTCATCTGGTTTGGCTGCTGGGGGGCCCAGCGACTGGCAGGCCAGAACAGGCCCATGGAAATTGTTCTTGGCTCCTCTAATTGCATCCTGGGTTTCAAGCAGAATTTCTTTCCTGTCCTGAACCTTTGTAAACCTGCTAAATATCTACCTCAATTGTGTTACATGCAAAGAAGTTTTTTCACCAAATAGCTGCATGTTTTGTAATTCAATAGTTCTGTTTCCAGTTTCCATTCTGCATCCCCAAGAAAGAATGAATATTTCCCTAAATTTACAGCATTTCCTTCCATCTCACCTTTGTGACCCAGATGATTGCATCAGAGTTAATGTTGAACTCTTGGCCTGGGAGAGTCCCAGCATCTACTTGCCCAACTTTCACAGCGACAAACGATTGATTGGGGAGGAAAACCCAGTTGAGAATATCATATCGAGAAGATCCAAGTCCATTTTCTGAGAAGGAGATCTCCTCTCCAGCACTGTTGTTGAAGTGGATATTCCTCAAATAGGCAAGGATCTGAAAGAAAAGAAACATTCAGAAATTAATCAACCAGAAAGTCACAAATGAAACATTCTGGGATTCTATCATTTTGTGACAGTCAGCAGCTTAGATGTGTATCTGAAAAGCTAAACATGTTCCCTTGGTGGAGATCTGAGCAATCAGGAGTAAAAGCAAATATTTGACCTCTTCCCCAGCATTACAAAAAAAAAATGTAGACATTTGTATCGTAGCTTTTTCTATTTCAACTGTACTGGAATATCAAGATGTTAATTCTGTATTCCAAATTTTGTTCTATAGTTTTTCTCCTGTGATACTTGTATGTGTGTGTGTGTGTGTTGTTAAACTGGTTGCAGGCCACCCCTGAGGAAACCCAATGCAAAAGCAAAATGTAAATTGGAGTCAACTCCACCAGATATTCTCTCAAAACACACACAGAGTAAAATAGAATAGAATAGAATTCTTTATTGGCCAAGTGTGATTGGACACACAAGGAATTTGTCTTGATGCAAATGCTCTCAATGTACATAAAAGAAAAGATACATTCGTCAAGAGTAAAAAATCATAAGGTGCAAGACTTAATGATAGTCACAGAGTACGATAAGCAATCAAATCATACTAGGAAATAGTCAATAAAAAGTATTTGGATACAAGCAACAAGGTTACAGTCATAAGTGGGAGGAGATGGGTGAAAGGAAGGATGGGAGGATTAATAATAATATTAATGCAGACTTAGTAAATAGTTTGACAGTGTTGAGGGAATTATTTGTTTAGTAGAGTGATGGCGTTATATCCATGTATATATCCAGCTCTCCATCCTATAATTACCTTTTAACCAATGTTATTACAAAGTCAAGTAGTTCTTGACTTACCACCATTTGTTCACTGACCATTTGAAATGACATCACCACCAAACAAAATGACTTATTACCAGTTTTCGCACTTACGACCGTTGAAGTATCTCTGTGGTTATGTGATCAAAAATGGGGCAATTGACAACTTGCATGTATTTATAATAGTTTCACTGTTCTGGAGTCATGAAATCCCCATTTGTAACCATCCCAGCTGGCTTATGACAAGCAAACCAGTAGGGGAAGCCAGATTCATTTAATGACCACAACTCAAGAACTGTGGCAAAAATGTCATAAAACTGTTCAAACTTATTTAACTAGTGCTTTTCTTAGTAAATTTTGGACTCAATGGTACTTATTTCATGCCATTATACTGTTTTAAAATGATACCCTGATCTGTTCTGAGATGCACTGATATGGTAGCATACAGATATTGAATCAGTAAATTCAAGAAATACATAGAGGAGACTTTCTTTCTAAGTGTGATGACCAAAAGGGGCATGGCACAAAAGCAGCAAAGTCACAAAAGTAGGTAAAGTCCCTTTAATGCCTCCAACTTGGCCCCCAGTGTCCAGTTATCATCGACTGGAGAAAAAACTCTCCCAAGAACAGTTTTTAAAGAAAAGAAATTCCGTCCGAACCCAAAGTACATTTAGATTATATATAAAAAAAAAACAACACAAACCACACTGCAGCAATTAACAAGACAGGGCAGGATAAGGAATTGAAGACTTCAAAAGATAACAAAACACACACATTTGGGAGGACGCCAGAACCCTGATAGGACTTGACAAACAAAGATAATTCATGCTTTGCTTCCAGCAAGGTGCTGTGCGCAAACATTCTTTTTAAACCCTGTTTTCCCAGGTGCAGCTAATGAAGAGAATCAGGGCCCTTTTCTCCCCCATAACCCATGTAACTCACTTTGCTCCCTTCTCTGTTCTCCCTAGAATGAAGAGAAGGTGGCCTTGGGTCTTCCTCTGAAGGCCCAGCCCGACTGTGCCCTTCCCCACTTTCTTCTACAGCCTCCAGAGTCACACTCCCACTCCCTATCAGCTGCTTGACCACCCCCTCTGAATCAGATTCCAACAGGGGCAGGACACTAAAACTTTATGGATGAAATAAAAACTCACAAAGATTACCTGCCATGAATAGACATTTGAGATCACCTTTCCAAGCCTCAGCAGGTCTTGTCTCACTCCTGATCCATACATTGCATGCAATGCGTGTGCCAGAGCAAAAATGGCATTGTAGATGTTATAACTTGCACTTGTCATGCTGATTTCAAAAATGTGAGCGGGCACATTTTGTACATTCTCCTTTCCTGTACATTTCTTCTTTGGAATGATCATTCCTAGTTTCTGGATCTCGCAGTCAAAGACCTTTTCCCACCACTGTGGGAGAAAGTTGTCCCCTTCTGGGTTAAAAGGGTCTAAAGATAGGAGAAAATCTCTGAATTCTGAGATATCCCCTGTGTGGTCCCTTAACTGCAAAGACCCATGGAAGGGCTTTATAACTGGCAATGCATCTTTAGCTGCCACCACGTTGTGTTTCCATTGGGAAGTTAGGATCCAAACTTTCTGAGGCATTGACTTTGTGGACGTTACATAAAAATGCAGAGCGGACTGTAGATTTGCATTAGTATGAGGGTCTCCAAAGAGAATAATCACTTCAGTTTGACAACAGTTTTTTAAAAAGAGACGAAATGTATTCCATGTATCGAGAAAATTATCCGGTTTCAATATTTCAGTGAAGGCCACACAGATCTCCTTCTCCCTGAGCATTGGCATTAGAGATGAGATGAAATGTTCTCCACTGTCACTTTTAGGGGTCACAAGCCCAACCCAGTTCCACTGGAAGTAGAGGAGCAGTTGAACTAAACCCACATACTGAGGAGATTCCTTGGGATTAATCCGGAAGAAGGAAGGATGAGCTGATCTCTCTCCCTGAGAGAACTCAAAGCCAACACCAAGCTGGAGAAAGTGAGAGTCTTCTTTCAAAGACAAAGTAAAATTTTATGGTGACTTAAGGGGTCACCATTGTATGGTTGATGGCCCCATTAGTCAGTCTGATTCACTCTGAGTGGCAAGCTTCAGTTTCTTCCTTTTTAGGAAGAGTGAAAAGTTACAAATTTTGCTTGGTTATGACAGGTCAGAAGACAAGGAAACAAACCATCCACAGGAAATAAACTGCACTGAAAGGGTGGCTACAATGTATGAAGTATTCATTAATTAGGCAACAACTACTCCATAATGATAGGTGTCAGCTTTGAAATTCAGCTGCCACATTTTTTTGAGAGTTAGAGGAGTTGAAAAGTTCAAGGTTATTCTGTATGTTGGATTAAGAATTTCCAGTTGCAGTTAATTGGTTCTTGTGAGTTATGAAGTGTAGAAGTGGGAGGAGAGAAGGGAGGAGAGAAGGTGGATCCTGTGTAACGCACGAAAAAACTTTCACTTGAGAAATTGCTTTTGACATGCCAAATCTATTTCTAATAAATCAATTGGAGAGATAACGTCTCGGAGTGATTGATATCATGGATAATTTCTGGATGCCTTACAATAGACTCAAGATAGGCCACATAAAGATAGGCACAAGAAGATAGGCTCAAGATTCGGATGGATCTTGACAGACTAGAACACTGGGCCATATCTAACAAAATGAAATTCAATGTAGAGAAAAATAAAGTCCTACACTTAGGCAAGAAAAACCAAAAGTACACATATAGACTGGATGAAACAAGGCTCAATAGCAGTAACTGTGAGAGAGATCTTGGAGTCTCAGTGGACAACCAGCTAAGTAGGAGCCAGCCGTATGCAGCAGCAGTCAAAAAAGCCAATGCAATCCTAAATTATATTAACAGAGGGATACAATCAAGATCAAGGGAAGTACTAATACCACTCTATAAAGCCTTAGTAAGACCACACCTAGAGTACTGCATCCAGTTTTGGTCACCACATTATAAAAAAGATGTTAAGACTCTAGAAAAAGTACAGAGAAGAGAAGAGCAACCAGTATGATTAGGGGACTGGAGGCTAAAATATACAATCAACGGTTGCAGGAACTGGGCTTGGCTAGTCTAGTAAAGAGAAGGACCAGGAGAGACATGATAGCGGTATTCCAAAATTTGAGGGAGGAAGGGGTCAAGCTATTTTCTGAAGCACCTGTAGGCCAGACAAGGAATAATGGATGGAAACTGAACAAGGAGAGATTTTTATTTATTTATTTATTTTTGTCAATTGCTTACAAGATAATAGGTATAAGTAAAAACATAGTTATGAATACATGGATACATATAAGAAAAAAATATATATAAAAGTAACAATAGGACAGGGACGGTAGGCACGTTGGTGCGCTTATGCACGCCCCCTACAGACCTCTTAGGAAAGGGGTGAGGTCAATAGTAAACAGTCTAAAGTTAAAGTTTTTGGGGTTTGGGGAAGAAAATTTTAACCTGGAAATAAGGAGGAACTTTCTGACAGTGAGAACAATCAACCAATGGAACAGCTTTCCCTCGGACGTTGTGGGAGCGCCATCACTTGAGACTTTCAAGAAGAGATTGGACTGTCATTTGTCAGAAATTGTGTAGTGTCTCTCGCTTGGGCGGTGGGGGGGTTGGACTAGATGACCTACATGGTCCCTTCCAAGTCTGATTATCTGTTATCTGTGATAAAGAATTCCTCTTGGCATGGTCAACATTTAAGAAATAGAATAGAATAACAGAGTTGGAAGGGACCTTGGAGATCTTCTAGTCCAACCTCCTGCCCAGGCAGGAAACCTTTCATTTCAGAGAAATGGTTGTCCAATCTCTTCTTAAAAATTTCCAGTGCTGGAGCATTCACAATTTCTGGAGGCAAATTGTTCCACTGATAAATTGTGCGTACTGTCAGGAAATTCCTCCTTAGTTCCAAGTTGCTTTTCTCCTTAATTAGTTTCCATCCATTGCTTCTTCTCCTGCCCTCAGGTGCTTTGGAGAATAGCTTGACTCCCTCTTCTTTGTGGCAACCCCTGAGATATTGGAAGACTGCTACCATTTTACCCCTAGTCGTTCTTTTCATTAGACTAGCCAGGCCCAATTCCTGCAACCGTTCTTTATATGTTTTAGACTCCAATCCCCTAATCCTCTTTGTTGCTTTTCTGTGCTTTTCTTTCGAGAATCTCAACCTCTTTTTTACACCGTGGCAACCAAAACTGAATACAGTATTCTAAGTGTGGTCTTACCAAGGCATTATAAAGCAGTATTAACACTTCATGTGATCTTTATTCTATCCCACTGTTTATGCAGCCTAGAACTGTGTTGGCTTTTTGGCAGCTGCAGCCCACTGCTGGCTTATATTTAAGTGATTGTAATGTTATATAAAAATGATCTTGACACATCAAACATAAATATGAATTTAAGTGTCATGTGGATTCTTTAAGTCACATATTTGTGATGTGACCCAGTAAACATCTTTGGTTTCTCCATGTGTTTCTCTTGTTTGCCTTTGTCTATCGCTGATGCATCATTGGATTCCCCCTTACCTGTGGGACTTTGTAGATGCTGAAGATGGAGGCCATCTGCCTTGAAGATTTGGGGATGAAGCCTCCAATTACAGAGAGCAGAGTATCCTGCCTGTCACATTTATAACCTGGAATCATTCGCCCTCGTGTGGAGAGCAGGGAGAGGCTGATTATTGAAATACTTCTCTCAATCTTGTGATTGTCGGAAATTTGGAAACCGAGGGTGATATTGGGGAGGAGAACCAGATCCTTGTTGACCTCTCTGATTGCATATACCACAGCCAGGAACTGCTGGTAGCTCTTGGGTATGAGTCTATTATGAGAAAAATCATTGGGGAAATTTTCAGAAAAGGTCATGTTGTTGGATTTGCCTTGCCTTTGTGTGTGTGTGTGTGTGTGTGTGTGTGTGTGTGTGTGTGTATTGTTGGAGTCAGAAGTCCCAAGTTTCACTGGTTTGAGTCCTTAGATGTTTCTTAATGAAACTTGTATGACTTTGTGAGAAAGGAGAAAAGTGTCTCTTTTCACATCCAAGGACTTTTTCTACCTTCTAAAGTCCTTTCCTTCTTCACTTTGTTGCAGTGGTTATAATCCTTCCCCATGGCTCTACTAGCACCCTAATTAATTTGGTTCTCTCTTGGAGTAGCTTCTTCAGTGGGAGTCCCAGAATCTATATATGAAAGACTGTCAGCCCTGCTGAGTCCAATACTGAGAGTTTTTTGTGCAATTCCAACATAGAATAGAATAGAATAGAATAACAGAGTTGGAAGGGACCTTGGAGGTCTTCTAGTCCAATCCCCTGCCTAGGCAGGAAACCCTACACCCCTTCAGACAAATGGTTATCCAACATATTTTTAAAAACTTCCAGTGTTGGTAACATTCACAACTTCTGGAGGCAACTTGTATTTCTGGACACTGGACAGTGTCCAATTCCTGGATGCTGGAAAAGAATTGAGCTTTTCTTTCAGCTTCTAACCATGACCTCCTGTCCAGATTAATTTTATTTATTTATTTTTATTTTATTTAGTTTATTTGTCCAGCATGTATTAGATAACAGATATAAGTAACATAAATATTAATACATGAAATGGATATGAATAAAAAGGAACAGTAGGAGGGCGTCGCTGGCGTCGCAACGATATGGCATGCGATCTTGGAGGTCTGAGATTGCTGCTGATATCTTTGCTCCTGGATGATCCTATCGGATCTAAACCATCCTGAAGAGACAGTGAAAGTGAAGAGCGCATCCTGTCGATCCCAGGGACCCCACAAAGTCCCTGGTAGATCCAGGAGAAGCTCTTCTTGCCAGCGGCAAAGAGGCAGCCATTAAAGCTGCTGAAGTTGGGAAAGCTCCGAAACAGAAGAGAGCAGAAAGAGAAAGTGTGCCGGTTTGGTGAGAACTTTTTTATTCTAAGACTTGAAAGGACACCCTAAGGAAAAGAAAGAATCTGTAAAAGTTTTGACAGAAGTGATTAAGTGGCGATTTTAAACGGAAGTGTCAAAGTAAGGTTTTTTTGTTTTTTTTGCTGGATTTCTATACGCGATTTTGTATTTTTGAAACTGGACTGGTTCTTTTCTTATTTATACCTATCTTTTCTTCTCCTTTTTGATTTTGTAATATTTTAGGCTGCAGGCTCCAATTAGTTACATAGTTACTTCCCTTTTTTAAATATTTCTTTCCTTTTTTTTTTTTTTGTAATTTTTATTACGTTTTGCTTGGGAAAGGAGGGGGAAAGTGAGAGCAAAGAAACTTTGTAACACTGCCAACTAGAGGCTTGAAAATGCTTTATTTCCTGCCCTTCCAGTTTGAAAGGCTTCGGCGGCGGCAGGAATCCGCGATCATGCATGGTTCCTGTCATGCTTGCCGCTGGCGTACTCCCAATCCAGCTGGATTTGGGGGTTAATAGTCACCCCGTAGAGGTGACTGAAGATAGAGGAGGCCCAACAGGGGTTCGGGGGGATCGCAATCCCCCTCCTCAGCTGGCTCAACTCCTTTCTCCAAAAGCGGTGGAGCGGTGGTCAGCAATGGCTGCCACAAAGAAACTTTCACCCGGACAAGACTGTGCAGGAGGAAGCAGAGAAAGTGAAAGTTTTTGGCTGAACCGGGATAACAAGTAACATCTAAATACCCTGAAAATTCAACTTTTAAAAAAGATACATTGTTCCCTAAGAAGATCGTAAAAGCGGCGGAAGAAAGTTAAAAGGGAAAGTTTTTTTTTTTCTCACTCTCCTTCCCTACGGAAATAGCAGAAGGAAATCAGAAAAACCCATCTTGGCAACAGAAGGTAATTAAATTTGAAAAATAAAACCAAGTGGGTATTAAAGATTTCTGAACACTGGAATCAAAAAAATTAATTTTTTTTTTTTTTTGCTATAAGTGGGAAGGGAGAGATAAAGAACTTATATTAAGACTTTGCTGGAGGAGATTGCTTGGAGCTTATAAGACCAGAGACAAACTGTAACAAGACTTCTAAAAAATACATTTTGGAACTTTGTAATTGATTCTACCCCAAGAAGAGAAAGTATAAAAAGAAGAAAGTGCTAAATGAAACAGCTTGTGTTGATTAAGGTTGCTTGGTGACTTTGGGACTTTGAAAATTATTTTTTGAAAGATTAATAACTTTTGGGCTGTTTAAAAAATCTCACAATGGCATTATCTGTTGAAGAATTGAAAATGGAATTTCAAAAGTTAATAGAAGAGGAACAAGAAGGGAAGGGCTCTTCTGGATCTGTTTTTCACTTTTTGGAAATGGTGATTTCTACCTACCAGGAATTACAACAACAAGAAAGCTGGGATGAAGAAGAAGAAGCCATCTTTAATGAACAAATAACTTTAGTTGAGGAAGAAAAGGGAAAGAGGGGAAAGAGAATGGAGAATTCAAGACTTAAAAAAAACAACCCAAAAAAGGGAAAATAAGGTGAAAAATCGATACAATGTCAGAAAGCAACAGAAAAGAGGAATACAACAGAGAGGGGAGATTAAGAGGGCGGAGACTAAGAGATGGGGGTGTAAAAAGGCTAGATTGGACAAGAAAGGAAGGTGAAAAGGGAAGAGAAGTCACAAAGGCTTGAAACAAGATGTAAAAAAACAGATCTTTTTCAGAGACAAAGGGTAAAATATAATTAAAAAGAGATTCTGCAAAAGCACACAAGATTATATTGTAGTGTTGTACTTGAAATAGAGTTAGAAAATTGGAATATTATATGATTTAATAAAATATTAAAGGGAATATGTAAAATGTTTAAGATTTAATGATAGAGTTTAATTTGCTTTGGATTATTGTTTCAACTATATTATAAACATATTATTTTCTTATTTTAAAATGTATGTAGAATGTACTAAGCAGAATCAGAATGGAAATTATATATTATCTTAAGTGTTAAATCTAGGGGAAAGATAGACCCCAGGAAGAGAAAGTTTAAAAAGAAGAAAGGGCCAAATGAAATAGTTTGTGTTTACAGAAGAGAGTGGAGATTAAGAGGGTGGAGATTAAGAGATGGGGGGGGGGGTAAAAAGACTAGGATTACAAAAGAGATTCTGCAAAAGTACATAAGATTGTATTTTTCTATCCTTACTTGAAACAATGTTAGAAAATTGGATCTTTATATGATTTAACAAAATACCAAAATGCTTAAATGATAAAGTTTAATATACTATGGATTATTGTTTTAATTATATTATAAATTTATTATTTTTCTATCTTAAAATGTAGTAGGTAGTTTTAGAATGTGCTAAGCAGAATCAGAATGAGAATTATATATTATTTTAAGTGTTAAATTTAGGGGAAAGATATAAAGGCGTCATACTTCAATTAGTGATTACAGGAGAAATATTGTGTTAATAAGAAAAGAAAAATAGATGATTACAGAACGGACAAAAGATATTAGTATAATGATCTAAATTGACATGAAATAAATAAAATAGAATTAAGAGAGTGAAAAGAGGGAAGAAGCCATATAGAAAATATAGAATGGTAAATAAGAAATGAAATGGTATATAAAGTGAGCATGAACTTGATTTATGTCTTTACCAAAAGATGTAACCCAGGATTAGGCCGCTTTCCAAAAAGAAGTTTTATGTTTTTATGTTTTGTGTTTTGTTTGTGTATGTTTGTTTATTGAAAATTAATAAAATTCATTAAAAAGAAAAGAAAATGCTTTATTTCCTGTGACCAGATGAAGCTGAGAAAGCTGATAAAAAAAGAACTGAGATTCCTTTTCAAGGACATTGCTATGAGATAAGATAGAGGGAAGAGCATGGGAGAGTGTTATTGCAGGTGTTCTTCTGGATTTCTATCAACAATTGGAGCTTGGTGTTGAAGCTTACGAAAAGAAAAGGTGATAAGTCTTTGGAGAAGAGAGTTATAATAAGAGTCTTGGATAACTAAATGAAGTGCAGTGTGCTTTTTATTTTTTCTAAGCTGTGCTATCCCTCCTTACCAGCTTTACTGTATTTTTCTTTTTTAAAATCTTTATTCTTGTAATAACTATTTGGGTTTTTGGCCTGGTTGGAGCTTGTTTTTGTCCCTTTTTATGGAAGTCCAATCTCCACGTTTGCTTTTTATTTTAAAGTGAAAGCCTTAAAAGCCTTTTCTCTTTTCTTTCCTGGCATCTTTTTTTTTATCTATTCTTTTGGCTCATTTTTATGCACTTTTTTATATTTGAGACCCTTCAATTGGATTAAGGTGTTGAAGAACTTGAAGAATTTTTCCCCTTCTCTTGTTTTTTTTAAGTCTTTTTCTTTATTTAATTACTGATTGGATTAAGGTTTACAAGAACCTGAAGAAATTTTGTCTCCCCCCCTTTTTTATTACTATTGGGCTTTTTTCCTCTTTGCCATTTTTATTTTTTACTCTGAATTATAATTGGCTACTTCACAATTGGATTAAGGTTTAGAAGAACCTGAGGATTTTGAATTGTTTAAAATGAGTAGGAAACTTACAGCACCTGGATCCTCAACTTCTACTTCTGCCTCTCCACCATCTGGAGGACAACGTTCAATGCAGACAATGTTAAAGCAAGAAAAAGAACAAGAAAAAGTGACTCTACAGATGATTATGCAAGGAATCCAAGATATTAAAGCAAGATCAGAGACTATTGAAAAGAGAATAGAGAACATCGAACAAAGAACAGGGAAAACTGATGAAAAAGTGGAGAACATTCAACAAATGATGTCGAAGTATGATGAGAGATTCCAAAAAATTGAAGAAGATAAACAAAGAGACAAGAAGATTGGAGACATTGATAGCAGATTAACTGTGGTTGAACAAGATAAAAGTGGTATGCTGAGATGGGAGATGAACAGATCAGAATTTT